TTGATAGTCACAGCTTTACATATGAAATTCATCTTTTCTACTGTGTCATTTAAGACCACAGGGTGGGGAGGGGAGGAGCAGGAGGAGAGAAGGGGAGCAGAACTCAGTGCCAAGCCTGGGTCCCTCCCCACAAAAACAAAAAAAAATTTTTAAAAAGAAAGAAAATGCCAATAACTATATACCTATCAATATTCACTCACAATATAAATGGGTTAACTGCTTCAACCAGAAGACACAGGGTAGCTGAATGGATAAGAGAACAAGACACTTAACATATGCTGTCTACATGAGCCCAACTTCAGATCAAAAGACACATCATGAAAGTAAAGGGTTGGAAAAAATTTATTTCATCTCTACCTTTGGGCCACAAAGAAACTACTCTGCAGATAATGTTGCTCTAGTGAGAGCTCTAATTGTGCCCTGTGTACATTTAACAGGCATGAGAACAACCATGCTCAGAGTTAGCCTGACCCATGTGGAGGTGCGGATTTCCAGTGAAGTCCGCACATACATAGTTTTCAATGTCCAGAGTTGTGGAAGCAACTGGAGCAGGTCAGAGCAGGCCTGCCCCAGCTAGGACTGTATTAATGAATTTTAAAATGCTAATAACCACATACCTATCAATAATCAGTTATAAGTGGGTTAACTGCATCAACCAGAAAACACAGGGTAGCTGAATGGATATGAGATCTATACCCATACTTATGCTGTGTAAATGAGACCCATTTCATATCTCAAAAGGCACCACATGAAAGTAAAGGGATGGAAAAAAAGTTATCTCATCTCTACCTTTGGGCCCCAAAGAAACTACTCTGCAGATAATTTTGCTCTAGTGAGAGCTCTAATCCTGGACTGTGTACATATAATAGGCATGAGGATAACTGCTCAGAGTTAGCTGACCCATGTGGAAGCGCTGCCTTTTTGTGAGGTCAGCACGTAAACAGTTTTACATTACCCAGAAATTTGTTTTGAAAGGAAAAGTAAGAGGAGACATTCTACACTATGATCAATGGCCCATTTATGAAATTATAGGGACTACTAAATTAATAACATTCATTTGACAATGTATGCCCAGAACACAAAGGCTTCAAAGATCACAACTTACTATCAATATATCTGTTGAAAAATAGATTAAAATTTTTCTCTCATAGTGTTGGAAGGTACCTGATATCAACAGGTGTTTAACCATGAATGGACATCTGTGCCTGTCTCTGACACTTCCCTCCTCTACAATAGAAATCAGAATTTTCAAAAATGAACAGCCCAAACATCATAAATAGACAGCCATCCGAAGACACTAGTGTGGCCTTTCAAATGAATGTTACTGCTAATAGTAGTAGTAATTAATAATAATAGGCTTCTTTCAAGCCTACATATTTGTATCACAGCTATTAATATTACTGAAGGTGTATTTTTGCCCTTAATCTATAACAGCGGATCTCAACCTGTGGGTCGAGACCCCTTTTGGGGTTGAATGACCCTTTCACGGGGGGTCGCCTAAGACCATCGGAAAGCACATGTATAATTACATATTGTTTTTGTGATTAATCACTATGCTTTAATAATGTTCAATTTGTAACAATGAAATACATCCTTTATATCATATATTTACATTACGATTCATAACAGTAGCAAAATTACAGTTATGAAGTAGCAACAAAAATAATTTTATGGTTGGGGTCACCACAACATGAGGAACTGTATTAAAGGGTCGTGGCATTAGGAAGGTTGAGAACCACTGAAGTATAACAAAATATAATGCTAAACATAATCCTATATAATAAAGAGGTAATATGCAAATTGACCATCACTCCAACACAAGATGGCCACCCCCATGTGGTCAAAGATGGCTGTCCCCATGTGGACACAAGATGGTCATCAGGGGAGGACAGTTGGGGGTAACCAGGTTAGTTAGGGGTGACTGGGCCAGCAGAGGAGGGCAGTTGGGGGCAATACGAAGGTAAGTTAGGGGTGACTGGGCCAGCAGGGAAGGGCAGTTGGGGGCAATCAGGCCTGCAGGGGAGGATAGTTAAGGGTGACTAGGCCTGGAGGGGAGGACAGTTAGGGGAGACCATGCTGGCAGCAGAGGGAAGTTAGGGGTGACTGGGCCAGCAGGGAAGGGCAGTTGGGGGCAATCAGGCCTGCAGGGGAGGGCAGTTGGGGGTTACCAGTCCTGTAGGGGAGGGCAGTTGGGGGGGACCAAACCAGCAGGGGAGGGCAGTTGAGAGCAACCAGGCCTGTAGGGGAGGGCAGTTAGTAGTGACCAGGCTGGCAAGGGAGGGCAGTTAGGGGCAACCAGACTGGCAGAGAAAGGCAGTTAGGGGTGGCCAGGCTAGCAAGGGATGGCAGTTAGGGGCAATCAGGCTGGCAGGGGAGCAGTTAGGCATCGATCAGGCTGGCAGGGGAATGGTTGGGGGGTGGTCAGGCT